ACCATGCGAAACATTTGGAGATAGTACTCAGCATACTACGGGAACATAAACTATATGCCAAACTGTCAAAGTGTGAATTTTGGCTTAATGAAGTTACGTTTTTGGGACATGTGATTTCTCAAGAAGGTGTTAAGGTAGACCCCAGTAAAATATCTTCCATCACCGAGTGGAAGGTTCCAAGGAATGTTCGTGAAGTGACTTTTCATACGGTCAAATTTTATTTATTTTCTTTACTTATTTCCATTAGTTATTTGATCAAATAACATAACTTGCTCAAAAATTGATGAATCCAACTTGTAAAAGAAGAGAGAAAAAGGGTAGAGAGAGTTCATGAATGATTTTTTTGTACTTTTTGACACACGCAAGGAAAGGTACGAAATAGCTTTGAGGATTCATTTCAAATGAGTTGTTTGTTCCTCCAGATCCTAAAGATGAGCATCTTGGCCTTTGAGGCCTGTCTACCTCTCTCGGAGGAGATCGTCGTTGATGTGATCCAGAATCACGTTCTAGAACGCCAAGCAGTTTATCATGAAGCGGTTTGGGAAATTCTGTATTCCTTCTTACCAATTTATTCCTTTGGTTAGCCGTTTTTGATTGACTAACATTTTGCCGCGATTGCGTAAAATTCAATTCTCGATTCCCTCTCTTGGAAACCGATTTCTCTGATATTGCCGGTCCTACTTTGCTCTGTAAAGCAGGATGGTGGGTTCCCCATCAACCCACCTAAAAAATTACATATTTTTTACTTAAACTAGTATCTCACCCGTGCGTTGTACGGGTCATTTTTATGTTATTAAATTCAGATCATTTTTCAATGATAAAAAATGAGATACCATAAAATGTAGAGATTATATTATTTTAAGGTACAGAACATCTATGTTTTACAAATTTCGAAAGACTTCTTTATAGACTACATTATTTGTAGTCTTTGTAAGAGTATTGTCTTCATTGCATATCAAAATCTTCAATCCAATACGATTAGTTACTCTTGAAACTGCAACATAGAACTGTCCATGACTAAACATAGGTTTCCGTAACAGTAGTCCAACATGTTCCAGAGATTGTCCCTGGCTCTTGTTAATCGTCATTGCATACGAAGTAACCACAGGGAATTGTCTTCTTTGAAACTTGAAAGGAATTCTTGTATCGAACGGTGTTAATGATAGTCTTGGAATCACAACTACTTTCCCGATTATATATGAAAATTTAAAAAAATACAATTTTATCATTCAAAATACATGTATATATTACAATTTTTAAATGTAATAATTTATTAGATAATATTACATATAAATTAATGAATATAATTAAATACAATTACCATTTGTATAAATTAACATAATACCAAAATAATATATATATTTTATTAGCCTTACTTTATTATGGTAATTAGATTTTTAATTACCTTTTGTGGTGTGAATACTTTATTACCATTAGATTTTTTTATTTAACATGGCGTGTGTGAATACTTTATTACCAAAATACATGTTTATATTAATTTAACCGTTTAAAATAAATGTGTATATTACCATTTTTAAATGAAATAAGTTATTAGATATTATTACATATATATTAGTAAATATAATTAAATACAATTATTTCCATTCGTATCAACTGGTTAAAAAGGATTGATTTATTAACGGTAAGTGTAATTATGTTTGAATATTATATTATTACTTTAAATTACTTACCATTTTAATTGAATAATTACTCAATTCTGGTAACTCCATTAATGACCCGTGTAACACCATTTTAATTGAGTAATTACCATATGGAGTGAACAATTACTATTTTTATTAGAACACCAAATGAGCGGGAAAACCAAATTGAGAATCCATGGCTTTTTAAATAAAGTATGGATTGGAAAGAATCAAAAGCTAAACTTTACAATATAGATTAGAGACCATGATGAAATTATATATTTGAAAGGTTAGAATGCTTTAGCATTGTTTTTGAAAAATGTTTTAATCTTATCTTTTTACAGGCATTCACTGACATGTGACACTATTATGTGTTTATTAATATTTGTAAGAAGAATGAGGTAAAATGTGATGTCAATATTAGGGTCATCAAACATAACTCTTATTCTATTTGTCTAAAAAAAAATTTCAGAGTTTGAAAACACTTTAATAAAAATTAAATATATTTTAAAGTAATCAAATGTTAAAAATATATGGAGTATGATTTATTGAAATTATATTTTAAAATGAATCTAATTTTAATAAATTTACACGATTTTTTAAAGTCTACCAAAAGACTCAAAAATCGGCAAATTATATGGTACATCCAGCTGTACCTTCCTTTAGATACAACCTGATATTTTTGTAAATTTTGTAAACTTTTTATCCAATGCTCAGAACATTTATGAGAACTATTATATATGACAATGAGTGCCAGCAGATTTGAGGAGTACCAGCACTTATGAGAATTATCACATTCTTATTCAATACAAACATGAATAACCCTGAGTTTTAAATTCTCCATGCTCAGAAAATATAAATGAGTAGGAACGAATCGAATAGAGGAAGAAGTTGATGATGATATTGAACTTTTTAATTGTGAAAAAATTAAATAATACTTTATTTCAGAATGAACACTTTCTTATTTAAGAATGACTATTATTTTTTTAAGAATGAACACTACACTATTTATTATAATTATATTAGACAAATGTGTAAAAATGAGTATCTCTTTATTTTAAAATGAATACTACTTTTACAAGAACAAGTACTAACTATTTTAAAATGATTGTATATATTTGTACGAGTATGATTATTTAAGAGTACAATTCTCAAAAATCAAAACCGCTCCTTCCGCGAACCAACTGCACCATTAGCCAGCATAAACTTAAAACGAAGCAGATGAGGCATTACCATGATTATCATCACCGAGCAGTAGATGGGCTTGTGACTTTCCTCTCCAAATCACACCACGACCTTAATCTCGTCTCCTTCAAGCTCGAGAAGGAGTTCCAGCATGTCTACTCTGATAACGTCTGGATTCAATCGCGGTTTGTGTACGAGTTTCTGTATTTCTCAGCTAGGGTTTGTTTTCTAACCCTGAGTTATCGTTTTTTCCCTCTTTTGCAGACGAACCCCATGAAGCTTGTGTCACGGATCAACAAAATACAGCAGGAGTTGGCGTCCATTCAGGAGCAGTGTCGCGAGCTTCTAGCAGCCAAACAGGTGTTTCTTCCCTTTTGATTGTTGTTTATAGAGGGGGATTCTAGGAAATGTTAATGATTTCAATAACAGAAAGTGGCAATGTGTGTGATTTGAACACGGGAGAGGGCTCTTCAATTCAGCTTTTATCTTAATTTGTTTGTAAAGAAAGGCTAAGAAGAAATTGATCAATCACATATAAATAGATAAAAAAAAAGGGATATGCAGTTTTTTTGTTCAAGGCCACTCATACACATCCTCCATAGCCCAATTAAGTTCCCACTTCCTTTATTTCGTTGTCTAAAAAATGTGCTCACTTCCTTGAAAGGAAGTACCTTTTTGTTTGAAAGTGTGTTATACCCTTTCATACCATCAATTTTATTTTTGCTCATATGCTCTACTAAATCTGTACCGACAAAAGCAAATCTACTTTTGTTGAATAGTCTTTTATTCAATGATGACACATAAGGCGTAAAAAAGTAAATATTACTATACCATGAGGGATAACAAGATGTACGAGGAATTTTGTTATAGACATTAGTTTTCTGTTAGCAGCTATGTAGCATTGAAACAGAAACGGGGACGGAGGCGAAACGAAACAGACACGCCGAAACGACTATTTTGAAAAAAATGAAGAGACGAATTGCCGGGGAAACGCCAAATTTATAAATAAAAATTATATATATAAATAAATAAAATTATGTAAACAAATTCACAATACATAACATATTTTAGTCATTACAAAACATATTAAAGTATAAGTTCACAAAACATATCATAATTTAGTCATTACAAAACATATTAAACTATAAGTTCAAAAGAGATAGCATAATTTAGTCATTACAAAACATATTAAAGCATAAATAAGTTCAAAATACATAACATAAAATCCAGAAGTCACTGACCAGCGGCGTAAGCTTCTCCCTTTGTCGGCGAGAAGCTTATTTGGAGAGAACACTTCACCTGATGTCACGCCCTTTGTCGGTGAGTAGTTGGCCAACCAGCTACGTAAAGCTTCTTCGAGGGCCGCTGTCTATTGTCGATGAATATGATAGCCGCGTAACATAGAGGAGCAATGAAGATTTAGGGCCAGATAATACTTTTTATAATTTGAGTCAGCTCCAGAACTTTTAAAATTTATAAAAAGAACCCCATTTTTTAAAAAGAGGTGTCCCTGCCGTTTCCCAAAAGAGACACGCGTGTCCCAGCCGTTTCCTTGGCGTTTTTTTCTCTTTTTTTAAAAATTAAAATTACAAAAACGCCACGTGGAGTTTCCGAGACGTCTCCAGGCGTGTCCGTGGCGTGTCGGCGTGTCCGAAACGGGTACGGCAGCCTATATGGAGTTTTTGTGCAACATAGGTTAGCAGGGGTTCTCTATTGCAATATGTGCTTTCTATAAATGTTCTATCTTGCGGGATTTGAATGTTTTCGATTGATTAGGGGCAGTGGCTTTACCTTCAAGCTTAGGCCTGAATGTCTGAAAATTCTATGAAATGCACGGAGTATATGATTTTTATAAGTGTTCAATTTCACGGGATTTGAATGTTTTCTATTGATTAGGGGTAGTGGATTTACCTTCAAGCTTAGGCCTGAATGTCTGAAAATTCTATGAAATGTACGGAGTATATGATTTCTTTAACAAGAAATGACAATGTGTATGATTTGAACACAAAAGAGGGCTTTTCATTCTGTTTTTCCATTAATGTGTTTGTAAAGAAAGCTTAAGAATTTGATCATTCAAATATAGATAGATAAAAGAGGGAAATGAAGTTTGTTGTTCAAGGCCAAAGTCTAATTAGTTGCTAGTGAGTTAGTAGTCATCCTCCATTGCTTGATTTAGTTCCCACCTCCTTTATTTGGTTGTCTAAAAATATGTGCCACTTCCTTAAAGGGGAGTACCTTTGATTGAAATGTCAATTATACGCTTCCCTTTTCATCAACTCTAACTCTTCTCATATTAGTCTGCTCTCTCTGATATGTGTTTCTGTGTTAATCAAGCTGGGGTCTCTTTGAAACAACCTCTCTACTTTCAAGTAGGGGTGAAGTCTACGTACACACATCCTACCTAGACCCGATTTATGTGGGATTCTACTGGGTTGTTGTAACTCTTCTCATATGATCAACTCTATCTCTACCCATTAAAGCAGAGCTACTTTTAGGTGCATAAAAGTGTAAAACTACGCCTATGTGAAAGTCAGGCCGAGAACTTGTTTGGGGGAAGGAGGGAGTATTTCTTGTTAAATAGTCTTTTATTATTTGATGATGCTTTAGTGGTGTTCTATTGATATATGTGCTTGTAAGAACAAAAAGTTTCACCTTTTCTTTGGTTTGATACTTTGACCAATTGTGTATTGTGACTATGCCATTCTACATTGATTATACTAGTATATCACCTGTGCTTTGCACGGGAAAGGTAAATCAACTAATAATACACTATATTAAAAATAGTTAATTTCAAATATTATAAATTCTAACATAAAGAAGTAAGTTTATAGTAAAATTAATATAGTATAAAGACGGAAGTAAGCGTAATGTAATATATGTGATTACAAATATGCAACAATTTAAATTTCACAAAAAGTTATACAATAATTAATTTCAAATGTTTTGAAAAACCTCTTTAAGGAGTCTCATTATCTGGCCTTTCTATATCATTACATATCAAAATCTTCAATCCAGAACGCGTACGAACCCGAGATATGACAACGTACAGCTGTCCATGACTAAACACTAGTTTTTTAAGTAGCACTCCAACCTTTGAAAGGGATTGTCCTTGACTCTTGTTTATGGTCATAGCATATGAAACCATGATAGGAAATTATTTCCTTTGAAATTTGAAAGGCAATCTTGTATCATAAGGTGTTAATGAAATTCTTGGAAGTAAGATCTTTTCACCAGCATTACTTCCAGTTATAACCTTTGCTTCTAGCACTTGAGCCCCAAGCCTTGTAATAATAAGTCGTGTACCATTACATAGGCCATTAGCATGGTCAATATTGCGCAACAACATTATGGGTGTCCCAACCTTTAGTCGTATTTCATGGTTGGGATTTATTCAACCTTTCGTCGTATTTCATGGTTGGGGTTGAAGGGCCTTATTGATTGGTTTTTGGTTGATTCAATTCTTTCCAAAAAGATGGGTGATTAAAGCCCAATCCAATCATATTTTCCTCTTTTTTTATTAATTGAGTTTGCAATTTTCTAAATTGACAACTCTATGGTAAAAATTGAACTTTTTCCACTTGTGATTTCAACAGGATGTAATTGACAAAGCCAGGGCAACCTTAGTTTTGAATCGATCGTTGCTGCAGAAACTTCAAACACATGCAGGTCTACCTATCATTGATGACAGTAATGATCCAGAATTTGTTAATTTTAGCCAGGTAATCTAGGTTATTGCATCATAAATCATAATCCTTTTTACTTTATGGTTTTCTCAAGAACCAAGGTTTACCTAATCACCTTACAACACTAATTGCTCCCATATTATACCTGATTACCTCTCAAAATTGAATGATTGTTCATATCACATTCTATTGGCATGTGAAAAAGTTCTGAGAGTGGTTGAAATGACTGTTTTCCAAGCCGTTTTAAGCTGTCAGTTACACTTTCATCTATGTATAAAGTTATCCTCGATATTTTTATTGCTATTATGATTATGAGTGCTGAATTCTGTCTTTTTGACTGGTCATACTTCTGCATGTGGAAGAAATAAATGAAAGGGGTCAATATGTTTTTTGTCTTTGCAAAAGCGTCATTTATTTCAGGTTCTTGTAAAATTACTCCCTCCGTCCCGGTGTTTTCATCCACTTTTGCTTTGGCACAATTACCAAGGAGAAAGTCTAGAAGAGGAAAAAGTCTCAAATACCCTTATATTCAAAGCTCACAAAAAATTGAAAACCCAAACTTTCTACTCACAAATCGCTACTCACCTCTTCCAATCAGCAATCGCTGAACACATAAAGAGGATTATACGAGATGGAAAGCTTCGTCACCCGCTTCTGGCTCTTCAATGGCTGCTTCTTCGTTCAAAACATTGTTAATTTTTTGACCTGGAAATTGTCTAAACCTCATCTCTACTATTTACGGACCGAAACAATTGTTATTCTGCATAGCCACTTCCTTCGAATCCTGCGATGGAGTTGTCGTCCCCGTCATTGATTTGCCGTCGAAAGACACAAGATGTGAGTACAGTGCATCACTATTTAATAAATATTTGATTATGAGAACTGGATCCTTGGAAGCGGGCTGATCGGGAGTAACATCAACGATGGATTCAGGAAGATGATGGATTGTGGAAGAGGATGATGACACTTGTCCAGATCTTGCAGATGAAGCATTCATGGCTGGACAATATCGAGAAGTGAAAAGAAAAGGCTTAAATTTAAGAGGAGAGTAAAATGGACGATAGAGACATTTGAGCCATACTTAAAAAGGAAAGTGGACGAATACATTGGGACGACCCAAAATGGAATACTGGACAAAAAGAGTGGGACGGAGTCACAGAGGGAGTATTTATTTTTGCTATTCATCATTGTAATTTATGTTTTGTATGTTGACCCCTATTAAATAAAAACAAACGTGATTTGCAGACTTTGAAGTTATTCCTTATGCGAGCTACATCAGTTTTTAAACATATATTGACGATAAAGGATTAAGAGGAAAAAAAAGTAAATTACTTTAATAGTTAAAAAAATGATCTAGAGATACTTAAAATAAAAAGACATGTTTGCAGAGACGAAAACCACTTCTTAAGTTTTTAGCATACACACAATTTAACTTGTTTTAATTCCTTAAACTAAGAGCATTTACAATGGGTGGCTTTTCTGGCCCGCCCCAAAATCTTGCAATGCTATCGCCCGGAAAACCTACCTCTCCATTTTTTACATTATTCATCATTTTTAATTACAGTGTTTTTTAGAAACAAAATACATATTATTAAAATAAGAATGCTAAGATTGACACTCTTTATTAAAAACAACATCGATATAAAACGCGAAATACACCAAAATATAATTAAAATTTAAAAAACAAACGAAAAACATCGATGTAAAAGCCCTAAGAGATGGTAAACATTGTGTGGCTTCTTGATCTTAAATTTAGTTACAAGTGGCAAGGTTGCTCATTTTCCAAATGTTGCTTATAGAACATATAACGTTTGCCAGCAAGCAACCCATATTTATCATGCAAGGTTTCCGAAGTCTGATGCCCTGGCAAATAGTGTTTTGCCTTGGCATTTAGTAGCCTTGCTACATAGTTATGAATTATGATGCCATCTTCATTCTTCTTTTTCCTTCTTTCATTTTTTTTGAAAAAATTACTCATCTCGGGTAGTATTATTCACCATTTTACTTTATGGCTAGTAGTTGATAAATGCTTAACCTTGTTTATTACTCTGTACATCATATTTGTGGGTGTCGGAGGTCGATGTTGTGACCTCCCTCTAATGCGGGCAAGTCCCATCCACTCAGGTTTATGAATGCTTTCTAATCCCTTGATATGTAGGTAATTGAAGAATGGACAGCTCATGTAAGAGCCGGAACAGGTATATTAGTTATGAACACGGTCATGTATTTCTTTATTATATTTCTATCGTTTGAAGGTGAAAAAGAACCTGCATCTTGCATTTTCATTGAGTTTTGAACTTGGATTTGTGTGTGTAACCCATTTGAATTTCATATTTCTTTTGTATACCTAAGCCATGTGACGTCATATCTTTAGTACAGTATTACTGTAGGCGTGTAGGAGAAATTAGTACACCATCTAAACACGTTCCATACATTAACCTAGTTAGACTTATGCGTAGTTTGGTTCCTTGGTTTTAGGGGATTGGTCAAAGTGGGAGAGTTTCTCTAATCCCAAATTCCCATCCTTTAGTCTGAACGAACTTAGAAGAAATTTTCAATCCTTTACCTAACAAGTTTTCTGCTAAACAAGCCCCTATTTTAGTGCTATTCACTCTATTACAATGTAGTATTGTTCATACTTTTCTGAAACTAATGATATAGGAGTAGCTAGCAACCAAATGATGTAAGCGAACCCCAAGTTGTACAAGAATTTAGTATCACTGACCCCCTCATGGTATGAGTAGAGGCAGAGCTCGGGCCTTGAATTAAACAAGTGTTTCATTACTTTTACAAATGGCATAATTTTGAGCATTAAAGTATCACTTGGTCATATCGTGAAGCTAATTTGTCAATACCAGCTTATCTGTTTAGTTATTCAGTGTGTTGTTGAACTGTGCCATTGAGATTTAAAATCAGCTTTTTATTCCCTAATCAATCCCAGAAATTTCCAATTTGCAGATAATGAAAACCAGGAGTCTGCTTCTGAGGATATCAACCACCTTCTGTTTTCTGCCATTGTCCCGGGAAATTGAAAAGCTTTATTACATTTTTATTATCGAATATGATGAGGCGCTGGTCATGGTAGTTAATGTTATTCCCTATTGCAAATTGCGAGGGCACACGACAAGCGCCTCAAAAAGGACGATTCAGTCCCAGATTCCCTTTTAAGATCGAAATTGTAGTGTAATGAGGAACATTTCCCTCTAAATGATATTGCTTTCTCCATGTTTAAAGTTTACATAAATATTAAGCAGAAACTGGATACATTCATTGCTCTCGTCCTCGTTAAACCTCTTTTGATGGATTTTGCAGTTAGCCTTCCATAAAATGTAGCAGTTCATAGAGAAATATGAGTGGACAGAAGCTGCTTCAGAATGCACCAAAAATGAAGTTCTTAGCATGCACCAAGGTAAAGTTGCATCTGAGTCAATTCTGTTTAGCAGTAGATCTTCAAAATTTGATGTACCAAATGAGTTCTTAGTTTTGGCGGAAAACTTGATTTTTACTAGGCCCATACCTGATTGATTGACGAGAAAATAGATTGAGATAAGATTTCATTCTTCTCAGTGGTTCCTAAGTTTAATATAAATTGGTCCCCGTATACGGAGAATAAACTCTATTGTATCTTCATTATTTAAAGAATAATATTGTTCCATCAATAAAACTTTCTTATGAAAATGAAAGATAGAATATGATTCTCCATAGTTTAAAGCTACATTGCTCTTCTCACCCTATTTTCTCTTCAATCCAAACATGAGAAAAAACATCGGGATGTGAGTGTTCTCTTCATCAATTTTCTTTCTCACCAAATTCTCACCATCCAAACAATGGGTTAGATAATATGATCGAAGTTCGTAAATGACTTCAAAAACTCAAATTTGGAGTTTAGTTGGAGACACATAGAGTAATTTCTAAAGAGGATTATTAGAGCTGAAGAGCATGCACGAATTTGGATTGTGCACCTTTTTAGGGAACTTGCCACAAACTTGCACACCATCTATCAGCCCTCATTTTTTAACGTGAATAGAATTATTAAAGTGGATAAGAAATGTTGATATACCCCCGGTACCTACGAAAGTCCTTAAACAAATTACTGGATTAATGACTAAATCCTACTATCCTTTTTGGAATAAATTTACCCCTCCTAAACCCAAACCCTTAGCCATAATTTCATTGGATTTTTCCTCACCCTAAAATAAACCCAAACAACCTGTTTTCTTTCTTTACTGCCCAGGCCGTACCCCCTTACCCCCACCCTTTCTCATCAAAAAAACACACCCCATTAAACTCACCAAAATGACCCACAAATATTTCATCCTTTTCCCTTCAATTCTGGCCGAAACACAAGAGCCAAAACAACACATATCATCCCCATAATAAACCCCAACACATGGACCCCCTTTGTTCCCTACCCAAACAGCATACACACCCTCCATTTTAACCACCAAATAAGCCCTACAACTACACTCCAAAGCTAAGAATAAAACATCCCATTTGTTGAGATGTGTGGGACGTATAAACCCATCACAAACAACCATATCTCACCCCTCTTTACCCCATCCCTGGCCTGCCCCTTTCCACTTCACAACCACCATATTTCAACCACCATAACAAACCAA